AAGTCTATTATGTTGGATGGAATGACTTACTGTTATCAACATGATAATTCTCCAGAAATTAGTACATAAATTAAATGCTGTTCTAATTAGTCTCTTTTTTTCTCTAAAGTAAAATACCATGTAATAATTGGAAAGAGCCCTGAGGTCCAAGTATCCACATACAATAGTAATTGTGAATGAGTACAATCTTTAACTTGAAGATTTCTGAAGACTTTTCAGAATGATCAAAAGAATACTGAAAAAGGCAGTAAAAATTTAATAAATACATTTCTGTATAATAAAGGTGAATACTAGCCTTCCATTTCCTTTTCAACAAGTGATGGGGTTAGAGGGTTAAGTCTAGGAGACTGAAGGTTTGTGAGCCCCATGCTGCTGTGCTGTATGGTGTGGTCAAATAGTTGTGCATTAGGATCACTTATGATGATTAATAAGAATATAGATTCCAAGGTCTCACCCAAGAGTTCCTGGAATCAGAATCTGTAGCAAGAATTTAGAAATCACGGGCCAACTCTACCCTACAATGATCACTTCTTGTTTCAGATTTTCTTTTCTGAGCACAGAAACCTGGAAAAGAGTACTCAGTGTTTCCATTGGGAGGACTCTCATTTAAATCTTCTTTGGAATTGACTCATTTCCTTTTAAGGGAGAGTTGAAAATAGATTTTAAAGAACAGATACAAAATAGATTTTCTATTGTAACAAAAATTGCAATGTACAGCCTGCTTTCTGCCTAGCAGGAGGCAGTAAAAGCATATGGAAAGTAATGTAATGTGTTGGTTTGGGTTTGAAACCCAGCTTGGATGCTTTCTAGCTGTGTTACCTTTGAGAAATTAATTGTTGTAATTCTGTTTCTTCACCTATAAAATGAGGGTAAGAACTTCACATAGTAATAGTACTTACCTCAGAAATATTATGAACTTTCTTACACTGTTGGTGGGAATGCAAGTTGGTGCAGCCACTTTGAAGAACAGTGTGGAGATTCCTCGAGAAATTAAAAATAGAGCTACCCTATGACTCTGCAATTGCACTACTGTGTATTTACCCCAAAGATACAGTTATAGTGAAAAGAAGGGCCATCTGTACCCCAATGTTCATAGCAGCAATGGCCACAATCTCCAAACTGTGGAAAGAGCCAAGATGCCCTTCAACAGACAAATGGATAAAGAAAATATGGTCCATATATACAATGGAATATTATGCCTCCATCAGAAAGGATGAATACCCAACTTTTGTATCAACGTGGACAGGACTGGAGGAGATTATGCTGAGTGAAATAAGTCAAGCAGAGAGAGTCAATTATCATGGTTTCATTTACTTGTGGAGCATAAGGAGTAACATGGAGGACATTGGGAAATGGAGAGAAGTGAGTTGGGGGAAATCAGAGGGGGAGACAAACTGTGAGAGACTGTGGACTCTGAGAAACAACCTGAGGGTTTTGGAGGAGCGGGGGTTGGGTAATTGGGTGAGCCTGGTGGTGGATATTAAGGAGGGCATGTATTGCATGGAGCACTGGGTGTGACGCATAAACAATGAATCTTGGAACATTGAAAAAATAAATTAAATTAAATTAAAAAAAAGAAATACTATGATTAAAAAAGTAATAGTTAAAAACAAACAGAAATAATGCTACTAATTATTCTCAACAAGAGTACCTTGGGATGTTAATGTCATACCTTGGCCTTAGTATGTGGCCAATACATAGTAGGTACTTAATATTCTTTATATTTTTTTTTAACAGTAATCCACAGTGAGAAGTACATTTTATTGATTTCAGTACATATGTGTACTGAATGCAGGGCTTGAACTCACGATGCTGAGATCATGACCTGAGCTGAAATCAAGAGTCGGATGCTTAACTGACTGAGCCACCCAGACACCCCAGGTATTTAATACTCTTGAATCGAAGTTCAACATGGTTTGGCTCATACTGTAGTTTCATCAAAAGGATTACCTATTTTATCTCTAGTTCTCTTATTCATTTCATTTTAAAAGTAATATTTGAATGTCCCCAGGCCATGCTGGTTTTGTGAATACAAATAAATTCACCTTAATACTGTAGCCTACAAAAGGTTTAATAATGATCTAAGTTTAACAATCACCTTCCCCCACCAACCTCCCTCATTTGTGACAGGAAATCCTCAGAGGGGTTTCCCAGGTGCTCTGGAACAATTCTACAAATGCTCTGGGCTCCTAGTCAAGTTATCTTGACTGTGTATTGGCTGCCAATGCCCTTTATAAGAATATACCTTCCCTGACAGAGCCCTTCCTTATTGGTGGCAAGGCTGTATGAAGGTCTATCGCAGACTGGGTGAGAGAATGGCCCTCTCCCCTAGCTCTGTGTCACTAGGGCCCAAAACAGTACTTCTTATACCTGAAATTGCATGAAGTCATTTGTGAAAATAATTCCTCAGTTTCTGACCCTAACTTCTTTCCCCAATGGGCTCAAAAGCATTTGAAGACTCTGTGGGAGAGAAGGGAATGCAGGCATCACACTATTCCCTTCATTCCTTTTGACAGTTTCTCAAGGCCACCGGCACAAAATGTCCCCTTCCTTCTTCATTCAGAAACATACCCTCCAAGAAGTTCAACTTATACAGACAGATGGCTAGAGATGTCATGGGTAACCAGCTTCTAAATCACAGTTTGGTCATAGGTAAACCACCTGAGACCTTTTCCTTCCTTCCCATATCCCTATCGGTTAGAGAGGGAATACTAATTCAAAATGCATCTTGTCTACTGCAATTCTATTCCTTTTTTGTCTCCTTTGAAAGTGAAACTGCATATGGAGAGAAGAATCACATATTTCTGAGGCTGAGGGCATCCCAAGCCCCGAGTCACAGATGCCTAGCCTCACTAGGGATCTAGAACTCTAGCTCCTCAGCAACATGGCACTCTGGGGATTTCTGTTTTGCTAGTACTGATGTGTGAACAATTACAATAACAGTTAACATAGTAACAATAGCACAATATGGGGTAACCATTAAATTTTATTCCTTATTTCTCAAAAAGTTTCCTTAACATGATGTGAGAGTTATTAATGGCCTATTTCTTTAAATCCTGGTAAAGTATCTGAGGACCCATGACATTAAGTCCATTTAAAAACTCTCGCTCCTTTTTGGGAAGAATAATAGCACAAAGCTTAATGTAGAATAATAGTTTAAGGGTAGTATAATGCACAATATAGTATAAATGATGATGTAAAAATGATTAATAAAAAGGTAGTGAATTCCTCCTAACCCTCATGTGATGCTAACCATGAGGTTTTTTTTTTTTTAATTTTTAAAAAAATTAACCTGATGTTTCCAGGTTAATTCTGGGTGCAATACAGCCCCCTTTTTTAGATCCCTACTTCTAACCTCAGGGTGACATGCACCTTAGATATTTAAATGTCCTTTTCTCCACCATGAAACCTCGTTTTCATAAAGGAAGGATAAATAAACTCACATTCAAGGGCCAATCTTGGATATGGTAAGGGTTAGTGTATGTTTCCTGGAGCATTCTAGTGGAAAGACACTAGTCAAAAACTCCAGATTGCAATGTTTGTTCTGCCACTCATTAACTATGAGATATGAACCCAGCACAACAAACTTTCTGACCCAAGTCTATTTTAAAAATAGCAATGATCTCACCAGTTTTACAGGAGTTTTTAGAATAAATGAAGGATTAAAACTGGAAACACTCAGTGTGGTCCATAGCATTGCTCAATTTATGTTAAAAAATTATGTTAACTCAAAAATGGACAAAACCTTAATTCAGAGTGAATGGCTTTTAATTAAAAAAAATCCTTAATTCAGAGTAAATGGTTTTTAACAGTGGAAGGGCTTTTAACAGGTATTTGGAGAGTCTTTACCCCCCCCCACCTTTAAATTATATTTTAAAGGTAGTTGTCAAGTCTTCTTTTTTTTTTCTTTCTATAAGGAAAACTATACACTTGTCTCCACCTTCACCATGGTCTGAAATGAACCTGCTTGAGCCTGGTTGTGAAAGGGGCAGGGACCACGTGAGTGCTTTCACAAAAGTGTAAGGGATGTCATGGCAGGAACTTCTCTTTCCAGTTCTATAAAAGTTCATTTCATATAAGGGTATGATTTCCTCCTCACTCCCAAGACACTAATCTTTAAAATGGTGGAAAGTGAACCTGAAGTATTTTTGAATTTGTTTAATCTTTTATGGAACTGTTAAAAGGGTTTCCTAAATGTACATTTTCCAACTGTAGTGGTTCAACATTTGTGGAGCAGTAACTCTGTGAGTCAAGACTGCCCCTTACTTTCCTGTATCTACCAAGCACCTATAGGATGGGGGCTCATTTAATTTTATTTTCTACCTCCCAGGCTGGGCTCAGATACCTCTTAATTCTTTGCTCCACAAAGATGCTTAAGTAAAAGATCTAAGGAGCCCCTTCAAGGACCCAGATGTCCCTCTCTGTTTTGTGGCAAGACGTCTAGAGTAAGATATGCCCCAGAAACTGGCGCCATCGGGCCCCACTCTGGAGCAGGAGGAGGTGGCACGAAGGCAGGGCTCGGCCAGCGCCCTTTCGCATCTCCCCAGGAGGGGACACCGCCCAGGCGCACCCGTTGCTAGGTCCTCTGTTTGCGGCTTTCTAAAGGAGTCCTGAGCGGAACCAAGGCGGACCCGGAGGGGGGTGCCCGGAAAAGAGAAGGGATTGTGTTCAGTCAGCAGTCAGGGAGAACGGCTGCTCCTCTGTGGGTCGCTTCTGCCCCCAAGCCCTCCCGGCGCTGCTGGGAGGCGGAGGATTCCCCTCGTTCTTGGTTCCTCCCAACCGTCGCCGGTCCTCGTCGCCCTCCACGTCCGCCCCGCTCCGCACGTCGCGCACCCCCGGTCGCAGCCCGCGAATGGTCTGGCCCGTCGGTAGCCGCCACCCCCTTCGGCAGCGACAGCTGCTCCAGCTGCTCCGGGTGGAGCGCCGGAGCCCCGAGCGGTGGCTGCTTCGGGCGGCAGGCGGGCGGAGCGGAGCACCGGACCACCAGCGCAGGCTGCCCGGCCCGGGGGGCAACCGCCCGCGGGAAACCGGGAAGCGGAGGGGCCGCGGAGGGACCGCCTGCAGCGGGGAGGAGAGGACGGGGCTGGGCTTTCCTCACCTCGGTGAGTACCTGCTGCCCCGATCCTCCCCGACCCCCTTTCACTGTCCCCACCGCCCCGAGGTCTTGGCCCCCACCAGGGACGGTCACAGCCCTAGGGACACTGGCTCTCGCAGGAGCGGCGGAACCGGGAACTGCTACTGTTAGGACTAATGATTCAGCACCATTCGTGCCCCGAGAGAGATTTGGGCAGAATGGGGGAGGGGGTGTGTGGGGCGAGGTCAGTCGCTGCGCTGTCACCTCCGTGTCTAGGCTTCTGAGGTACCACCCGGTCGGGTGGGGTCGGGTCGGGTGAACAAGGAGGCTCCCTGCTGGCTTGTTCCGTAATTCCGTCTTTTTCCCAGAGCGTGGTACAAACCTCTGTGAGTGTGCCGTGCAATCTCTAAAGTGTGTCAGATTAAAAAGTGTCTTTTTCCCACATGCGAGTGAAGTATGGGGCCCTTGTCTATACCTGTCAGTTTCTTCACTTCTTGCTCCCTTGGATACCTAATTGAAGCCATCGTCCGCTCCGTTTTTGATTGCATAGCATTCCCCTGCTAATGTGTGAAACAGATGCGGCGTCCAAGTTGTCTTGTTCAGAGTGGGTTTGCTTGGTCTTGGCAGAGGAGAAGATGTAAGGGAGGTAGGAAATAATACTTTCAGAGTCTAGACACTTACTTTTAGATGTATTATTTTATTAAATCATCACAACTACCCAGAACCAAAGGTGGAAAGTGAGGAGCCTGGAAGTTAAATTACATGCTCAAGGTCACAGCACAGGAATTTGAATACAAGTCTCCCTGACTCCAAAGCCCATGGATCTTCCCCTGTGTTACAGAGCTGTGTGTCCCAAATCTAAGCGAACATACAGATGACCCATTAGATATTAAACAAAATTAATTTTCCGTAAGAGTGATCTCAATTAGGAACAACCTGTAAACTTACTGTATATGGAATTATTGTTCTTTTAGTAAGAAAGGGCTTTGAATTATGTGGGAAAAAACCCCATTTTCTTAGAAAACATATGCCAAAAAATATCCAGACAACATTGCAAAGGGAGAGCTAGGTCTAGCAGATGTTTAAAGCGTTTTTGGCAGTGATATATGATGACTGCTCAAATGTTGGAAAAATCAATTAGGAAAGTAAAATAAAACAAAACACCTGGAAATATTTTTCTTTTTTAAAACTTAATGGAAACATTTGCAAACGAATGGTTACCTAGTTCATGGGGTGTGTGACTGAACTGTTTTTGTGGGGTGTGTCATCCCCTGATAGGGTGACTGATAAACTCAGACTGATAATGTTATTTGATTCATTTCTACTGTGATTTGGCATAGTAGGTGATAACTTCATTTTGCAGACTAAGGAACTGAAATAGAAGGTTCAAGATCACATGGCTAGTAAGTGATGGAATCTGGACAAACACTGACTTACAAAAAATATGTGATTTGTAGCAAAACGTAGTTCTGATACAGGGAAACTGCATTGATTTGTTTTTGCTCTGCCCTTCAGAGTCAACAATTATATTGACCTGTGTACTCCTTCTGAAAAAATAATGGATGCTGGGTTTTTCTTTGTCTGTTGTTTGGCCATTGGATATGCTTTCATTTATGATTTATATATTCTCCCTTAAGATGTGAAACTCTTCTTAATGTCTCCGGAGGCAGGTTGCTATAGTATAAATGCTCATTATTTCTAAGTACTGGAATAGTACTTGATGGCAGAGAGGAACATAATCATCTTAGTTTGTCATTTCTAAAGTATTGAACTATTTACATTGAAGAATTATTAATGAGGATATCGAGAGACTAAAGCCCATTGCCTAAATAAGGCCATAAAATGGAGGCATAAATTTATATATGTTGTTCACACAAGACTGTAAGAGAAGTAGTATCATGTGATGACTCAAATTTGATTTCTTGGAGGTCATTTCTTTTTGTTGATTATGTGGTTGTTGACTATATCCTGAACCTCAGTGAGGCATCTTGCAGTCCAATCTGTTTAACTATAAGGAGGATGGCAGAATTGGTATGAGTAAATAAGCAAAACTACGATCCCACTGCTATTTAAAAAAAAAAAGAAAGAAAGAAAGTGCATGTCCTAGTGATGGTCAGCAGGAACATTTTTCTTTTTTTAAATTTTATTTATTTATTTGACAGAGAGAGAGAGATCACAAGTAGGCAGAGAGGCAGGTAGAGAGAGAGGAGAAAGCAGGCTCCCTGCTGAGCAGAGAGCTAGATGCGGGGCTTGATCCCAGGACCCTGAGACCATGACCTGAGCTGAAGGCAGAGGCTTAACCCACTGAGCCACCCAGGCGCCCCAGCAGGAACATTTTAAAATAGAGGCAACACATTTTATTTAGAAAACACCACCAAGGGACGCCTGGGTGGCTCAGTTGGTTAAGCGGCTGCCTTCAGCTCAGGTCATGATCCCAGCGTCCTGGGATCGAGTCCCACATCGGGCTCCTTGCTCAGCAGGGAGCCTGCTTCTCCCTCTGCCTCTGCCTGCCACTCTGTCTGCCTGTGCTCATGCTCTCTCTCTCTCTCTAACAAATAAATAAATAAAATCTTTAAAAAAAAAAAAAAAGAAAACACCACCAAGTATGAATATAATACCAACCTGACTTTAGCACTGCATCTTTTCTCACTCTTCTCTCTTTCTATATAATGTATGTATTTGTTGAATCATTACTGTCTGCAGACCTTTCAAATTCTTGACTTCGAGGAACTTAAAGTCTAGCTGGGGAGGTATTTACTTACACATTGAATAATTAACAAAATAATTAGAATTGGCCTAATACCAGGGAAAGGTGGTGCTATAAATGCTATATGAACCGTCAAAGAAGGAGAAATCATAGAGGCTGATTTCATAAGAGAATCAGGAAACTTCATGGATGGAAGTGAAGTAAATTACTCTGCCAGATGGGAAGGATTTGCATAGGAAAGACAAAGCCAGACAAGGAAGTTCAGCTAAGTGCTCATATACTGTTTGAATGCACAGTGATAAATTGTGAAGAACCTTGCATATCAGGCACTGAACTCTGCTCCTCTCTGGTAGTCATAGATAGTGAGCTAGCAGTTTAGGTTACTAAGCAGGCCAAGTTTCTCTTTGGCTGGTCTTACTCACATTCTCCATATTCCTTGTTCCAAGTGCCCTTCCAGAAAATGCTTTAGTTCCTGGGTACTGATATGAAGAGGATTAATTGTCAACTGAACCCAGAAAGAGTTTTCTACATAAGTAACATTTTTCCTCTTTCAAAGAAACTTGCCCTTTTAAAAGCGTTCCCTTTCCATTTTAGAATTATGAACAATTTAGAAACTATAAGAATATAAAAAGGAAAAAAAATCACCATACTTGTACTTAAGACAGGCACTATTAATATTTTGATATGATTTTGATATTTTCTTCCACTCTTTTCTGTGCATGGTTTTAATCATGATATTTATATATAACTTTAAAAAATATTTTAACTTTAAATTTTGTAACATTAAATTTCACTTAATTACAACTGGAAAGTGAACTTTTAAAATATCTACGTAATTTTCCATTAGGTAGATGTACGATATTTCTTAACCATTTCTCAGCATTGCTACATTTTTGATGATAATAACTAACACTGTGGTGAACATCTTTGTTCATAAACTTTTTTCTATATTTTAGAAGTTGTTTCTTACTACAGTGCCTCAGAAATGAAATTTCTGGGTTAAAATATGAAATCTTAGTTCAATTTTTAAAAAAAATTGAATTATAATTGACATATAACATCAGTTTCAGGTGTAACATAATGATTTGATATTTACATATATTGCAGATGATCACCACACTAAGTCTAATAAATATCCATCACACAGTTACATTTTTTTAAAAATGATGTGTAGTTTGACTATTTTATGCAACTTTTGAAACTCCACTAGATTCTGCATGTTCTTTGGATATCACAAATTAACTATAAGATACTGGCATATTGTTAATTAACTAAAACTCACTCCTATTTGTGGGTCCTCAGATTATACTTTTTCAGGCACTCTCCTCTTTTGATTAGAAAAACTATTTTAGTCATGGCTACTGGGCAAAACAGATGAAAGGGATTAAGAGGTACAGACTTCCAGTTATAAAATAAATAAGCCATGCGGATGAAAAGGACAACATAGAGAATATAGTCTGTAATATTATAATGACTTTGTATGGTGATAGATGATATATCTACTTATTTGGTGCAATGGTGAGCATTGCATAATGTATAGCATTATCAAATCACTTTGTTTTACACCTGAAACTAATGTAATATTGTATGTCAACTGTACTTCAATTAAAAGAAAAATTCATGAGCAGTGGAAGAAAAGCAGGCAGTTGGGGCCTGAGGAGAGAAGATTTAAATGAAGCGGGAGAGCATGTTTGGTGAGTTGGCAAGAGTTTATAGTCCGTGAAGGGAATATATGATGAACTACCTTCTGGTTTTAGCATTGTCTTTGTGGGCCTCAATTTCCTTCCCTCCATCCTCCCTTCAAGTATCTACCCCCACCCTTATGTCTTTCAAACTTCAACTTCTTCTGTCCTCCTGTATCAGTATCCTGGCAATGTAAAGCATGTAAACTTACTCTTGCACTCTAAATTTAGAGAATCCACGTAGGTGAGGGTGGGAATTTCAGACCTCCTTTCAGTTCTCAGCAGAAGCCCTGGTTACAAGGTACAAGAGAGTGTGGTGGACATCGACGACTTCTGCCCCCTCTGCCTTGTACATTGCTAGAGACAACCTCTGAGAACAGTGGCATTTGGGAGACACAGAACATTCCCAGCATTTCCCCTGAGCATTCAGACGCTTCCTTCCCCTTGTTTCCAGTAACCCTCTACCTTCCCCTTGTTTCCAGTAATCCTCCACTAAAGGAAATTCCCTAGAAGGAGGAGAGAGACTATGCCTCCCTTACTCCCCCAGTTGTGACCACTGACACTACCTCCTTTGCTTTAGCCTGGTCTCTTATTCCTCTGAACAGTCTCTCACCTGTGCTTCCTCTGGGTCCTACCCCC